ATAGATATGTTGTTATTTCTGGTAACCCTTAATGGACTTTTGCTGACCAGGACTGAATGACGAGACTTTAAGGATTCGTTTACAGATAAGAGATGAGATATGGGAAGAAGAGGTTATGTGTTGTAATTTAAGAGAAGATGATACGTTACCAAAACTGTTTATACTTGTGATGAAGGGGGAAGTAATTTCTTTATATATTTCCTTTCTTTTTCTTTACTTTTTTTACTTTTTCTGTCTTTTTTATTTTTCTTTCTATTTTATTCTTTTTCTTTCCTGCACTATTTCTTCTTTTTACTTTTATTTTTTTTTTAGTTTGTATTAGTTTTTATTTTGTTAATTGAAATATTTAATAAAATTATTATTTAAAAAACCCACAGCTTATTTTCACACATTCAAAACTCAGGACAAACATTCCGTCCTCCTAACAAAACTCCGGCCATTCCCACATGCACACCGAGAAATTTCTACTCCTCTCCAGTCCAAGCCTATGTACTTTTCTCTAGAATCTAAGGAAACATTTCAAAATCAAGTACAGCAATTCACTGTTAAGCATGTCTCCATAGCTGATGGAACAGGCATTACAGAATTAAAGATTCTGGCAAAATAATATTAAATAAAAGAAGGGCAAGAAGCTTAGTAAATGCTATAAAAGGGGTCCATAGGCTTTGCATTCGAGTTTTGAATTATTTACTAATTAGTTCTCCATTTAAACACAAGAATTTAATAAATTGCTGACAGATTCATCCAGCATAACTTATCTAAAGCACTCCATCTGAAGAACAGTTTTTAAAAGCCCAACTATACCATATGTGATTTAAATCGATGGTATGATACAAATTAAGCACCAAACTTCTCTTTAGAGGCAAAACTAATTTACTCAGATGGAAACACATGCTTAACAATGTTGGGATTGTAATGCAGGTAGTGGTTTGTGTGTGATTTTTGTTGTTGTTGTCAGGCGAAAGGACACAACCAGTCACATTAAAATGCTGCTACTTATCCCTGAACTTGCAGAAAACTATGGTGGCATAACATTTACTGTTGATTGTGGTCTCTCTTGCAGCCTAAGCCAAAATGGCTATGAGAGAAGATCCCAGCTGGAGGGAGGGGACATGCCTGCAAACAGCTTAAACGGCCTGTAGAAGCTGAGCAGATTGCATCCCCTTCACGCATCACAACCACATCATCTATAGGGCATGCTACATTGCATTCATTGCAAAGATTGTCCTGGGAGAAGAGGAAAAATGCTGCTTTAAATTGAAACAGGCAAATATAACTTAAGCTGTCTCATTAAGGCAACACTGAATACATTAAAAAACAAGTTATGAGGGCATCTTCATGTCACAGTCAGGGGAATATGAGAATCAGTACGTAGGGAATAATCAGTTGGCTGCATTAAAGTGCTATCTACCAGTCCTTGAGTTGGCAGAAATGTATGCTAGAATAAAATTTACTGCTATGACTGTGGTGTTTAATGAGAACAGTGAGTGGCGCTGTTTTAATGCAGGACAAGTTAAGGAAAGCAATTTATGGATTCCTCCAGCTTTGTTTCTCCTTTCATCAAGCATTGCCTGCTGGCAGGAAATCAACTAACAATCACTTTCCCTAACACAAGGCAGAGTGCAGTTGGGTGAGTATAGGTGGGTTCTTGGAATGGTATTTTTAGCCACCTGTCCAGTTTCCTAATTAAATGGTTGCATCTATCAGTCAGGCTTTTTATGAACATGAATCTAGTACTCTTCTGAAACAGTGCTAAGCTTATGTCCAAAAATAGCCTGGCTCACAGATATGGAGAAGTGGCACAGAGTGAAGCAGGAGGGAGCAATCCATAACAAGCAAGCTCCAGCCTTCATTAGTGCAACAATGGAACAGCAGTTATTAGCATAATTCCAGTTTTGTCCTTGTGGCAGCATTTGGAAGTAGTCTCTGGATAGCCATGGATCTGGAATGGATTAGGAAAATGGCATATCCATATCCCCAAAGTAATAAAAACAGTAAAAATTACAGGTATGTGAAACCTCTTGTGGACAGAAGCAGAAGGAAACCAGTAATCTAAGTAAAGATGAAAGAATCAGGAACAGGTAGCAAAACAGGACCAGCACTTTTCTGGTTTACATTTACCTATTGTGCATGTAGATTAGCACTCTTTTAAAATGTTGTTAAGCCCATGTTCATAAGAAGCTTATGTAACACCTGGCAAGCACTTTGGAAGGTGCCAGTCAACATTACATGGGAAGATCCCTCTGTAGAAGCCAGGTATCTGGACTCTCCTGCAGACAAAGCCACCATGGACAATGCCCAGGAACCAGAGGTCCAGAAGACTGTCCCACAGCAACCTATGGCAGCTTGGCAGATCCCAGCTCCTGACCACATCAGCAATCACACTGTTGATGAAGTACTGTATGCTAGATTGCACCGCTGCAAAAAATGTGCCAAGACAAAGGGTGGCAGTGAGCCTCATGGGATTCTTAAGTGGTGGGAAGGAGCATCTCACCAGTATTTTTTCTGGAAAATCATGTGGCAATTTGACATACCTATTGTAGAATAATGCATTTTAGAAACATACAATGCATCCTCTCCCAAATGGCAGCTATTTTGTCAGTATCCATAGTATGGCTAACTTGGTCTACTTAAAATGCCATATTTATTTATTTGATTTCTATAGCTACTATATTAACCTGATTATAATCCAGCAAATCTACCTGTTTAGTCCCAACTTTGTGTGTTTGGAGGTCTCAGTGTTCTGAAGGATAAACACTCATAATAATAGAGGTCAAAGTTTTCAGCCTTGAGCTTCTTAATCTCTGTCATTTGAATTTGTGGGTTGACATTTCCCAGCATTATTCTAAGACACTGTGCATTCAGGGTATATTTGCACCCTATTTATCCATGGTTAACGCCATACTGTAGTATAGTTTTCTAGAGTCCCATAACACACTGAAGCATAAATTAATTACAGGAACTGACTCCGGTCAGCATCCTAAGCTAAAATAAGGCAACCCTAGCAACGCTGTCTGTTTCAGATGCTTACAGAATAGGATTTGCAAGATTAGGAAAAGTATTTTTAAAAAATTGGGAAGGAGAGATGTGCTATATTGCTAAAAAGAGGTGGAATACAGAATCCTTCTTTTGGGTGCAATATTAGCTAGATAAAAAAGAGAATGCAGTGAATGGATGCCACTGACCGATCCTCAGAGAGACACTTGGAAGCTAAGCAAGTCGGTTTCCAGGTTCAAACCAGATTTTTAATTTTATTTTTTGCACGCAGAAGTGCTAGGGAGATCTCCGAGACGGTTAAACGACGACGCCGAAGGCGCAACAGAGGAACCGCAGGAGCAGTTCCGCTCCGAGACAAAATGGCCGCTGGAGCGCTCTTCTTCTCCTCCCCTCCGCGCCATATCCGGGGGAGGGGGGAATGCGACCGGAAGTGGGTCGCGTTTCCAAGATGGCGACTCCCTATGTTACTGATGAAACCGGTGAGTGAGGGAGCTGCGGTTGGGGTGCGGGGGACGTAATTTCGAGTGCCAGACTCTTTCTTCCCCTGACTCCCTCCAATTCGGCCACGCGAGCCCCCCCTCCGCGCCCGGCCGCTCCATCCCCGGTTCTTCCCGAAGCGAGGCTCCTCCCCTCTCTCCATCCTCGCTTGTCCGTCCCGCTCTTACGCCACGCCCCCTCCCCGAGGACGTCCCTCGCTTCTTTGGGCTGCCTGTTCTCCTCGCCGCTGGGCCCCGCCCTTCCCGGGCTCGCCTTCTCGCGCCACGCCCTTGCAGCAAGGGAGCCGCCTCCGTGCCCGCGGAAAACGAGCGCGGTGGCGGGGCCGGGGGCACGCAGGATTGCCCTTGTTCGCTTTCTCACGCGCGTAATAGCAGAGGGCAGCCTCTAAGGAGATTCCACTTGTATCCCGAGAATTCTCGTGGGACTATTACCTCGGAGGACGTCTAATTCTAAATAAAGCTTTTTAGGCTAAGGATGTGGCTTCATTGTATACACGTAAATGCATCCTTTTCCTCCGAAGCTCTTGTGGAAGTGCTGGACCATCAGTCCCCATCATCCTCAACCAGTTTAGTTGGGGATGACGGGGGTTGCAGTCCACCATATCCGAAGAACATCAGGTTTGGGAAAAAAATTGGTTTAGGTATCTAAACCAAATTATATCAGTGATGGGATCCAACAACGTAACCTGGTACAGATATGGTCCTATAATCAACCCCGTTTTTTCTTCCTCCCCACCTTTTCTCATAATGAACTTGTCTGATGAAAGCATTTGTTGCTTAAAAGCTTTCAATTATTTTTTTAAAACTTCAGTAGGCCTAATAAATTCCTAATGAAATAATACAATAAAATTCCTAAGGAAGTCCTTCCACTGATTTTGCTTTTTTTCCCCATAACCATCTACAATTCTCTATGCATGGCTTGTACATGCCAAATGTCTAATGTGGTTCTTAAGCCCACTGTTCTCTCTTAAAGTGAATTGGCTTCCATTTTTAGATTGCAGATGTTACTGTTTTCTTCTCCCCTACCCTACTTCTATGAATATAACTGACAGTTGTGCAGAATTTCTGAATAGCTCGACTTTGGTCCCTTGCCCAGTCAAGCTTCAGGGTAATCCTCCTGGGCTTTTTGGTCAAATCCATATATAACAGAAGGGTCTGTTTTATTTTATTTTATCCTGACTTTTCTATATAAAATCCTTGTCTATGATTTTTTTTTTCTCTCATCAGAATAATCTTATGAGGTGGATTAAATTAAGAGAGAAATCGACCAAAGTCACACTGTGAGCTTTGTGTCAACTAGAGATTTGAATCCAGGCCTCCTTAGTAAATTGGTGCAGTTGGTTTAAGGAAGCAGTGTAGCCTTACATCCTCTGGAGAACAACAGTGATTACTGTATGCGTCTTTTCCCTATGGCATTTTTAATGTTTTTTGTCATGTATTTTGTGTATTGTTTTGCATATGATCATATGCTGCACATCTGCAGTTTTATCTTCATTTTGATGAAAATCCTGTGCTACCTTACAGGATCATTGACAGGAACATCTTGAAAATATTAAGTATTATCTTATAAGAAATCCATCATTACCTGTGAGGAGCTGCAGGGGCATTTTGGTTTCATTTCTTTCTTTATATCTTTATCTTTCAAATAAAAAGGTAAAGTCTTCTTTGAGTTAAGCTTGGTTCCTCATGACATCATGGAAATCAAAGTGGTTTACCATTGCCCTTTTCTACAAGATTTTTTTGATGTTTTGATCTAGCCCACAGCCCTGATATTTCTTGGTAGTCAGGGCTGTGGGCTGGTCTTGGTCTCTCTTCCAAATTCTAACCAGGGTTAGATTTTCATGATTAGTTGAGTTTGGTTGTTTGTGGAATTTGAATGGCTGATTGGGTTTGTGTGTATCCTTTTCCTGTTTTGCAGAGGAGTTTTTCACAAGATTTTTTTTTTAAAGAACTTTGAAAATCCTAGTGGTCACCAAGGAAAATATCATTGATTGATTGATTGATTGATTGATTGATTGATAGCAATTTACTTCACAAACTAAAATAACTAATCAATATTCCAGGTAAATACATCGCATCCACACAGCGTCCAGATGGTACCTGGAGAAAACAAAGACGGGTGAAAGAAGGCTATGTTCCCCAAGAAGAGGTGCCAGTGTAAGTCTGATCCTCATCCTGGTCCTCTTGTGGATATTTACAGAGAAGTAGCCACACAAGCAAAAATAAAAGCCCTTGTGACAAAGGCTAACATAAGTATTATCACAGTGGATCACAGGCCACCTTATCTGATGCATGAAATGTTGCTCTGTATAGTCTTTACCCTCTCCCCATAATAGTTGTGTATATGTAATGCCCCATGCATTTGCTAAAGTAGAATGTAGTTCATGAAAGCTCATTTGATTAGAAATGATTAGTCTTTAAGGTATAAGAGCCAGTTTGGTGTAGTGTTAAGGCACCAGGCTAGAAACTGGGAAACCATAAGTTCTAGTCCTGCCTTAGGCACAAATCCAGCTGGGTGATCTTGGGCCAGCCACTTTCTCTCAGCCCTAGAAGGAGGCAATGGCAAACCACTTCTGAAAAACCTTGCCAAGAAAACTGCAGGGACTTGTCCAGGC